ATTTATTTAATTAATTTGCTAATTTGTTTAGAAAAAAAAAAATAATTTAATTAATTCAATATAAAAAATAAAAAAATTATTTAGTTTCGATTCTTATTCGGTTCTTCGGTTTTTGGTCTAAACCCGAGACTCGACCCAAACCCATCGGTTCTCGATTCGGGTACCCGTTCAGGTATTTAATTTATGAAGAACCGCTCGATTCAGTTCGGTTCGGGTTTGGTTCGGGACTTTTGGACACCCCTAGGTAAAGGTACCAATCAATGTAGTGAACTTTTACCCCTTGTTTGGTACTCATTTTCATAAATTCATTTTTTTAAACTCATTTTCAATTATATATTTTATAGGATCCATAATTTTTATCAACTTCTCAACAACACACCTCAAAAACTTTATTAAAATCTACTAAAATTTTGATTTTTATCTCAACCAAACATGATCATAAGATGACGTCAAACTCCAATTTACTAAACTTACCTTTAAGTGTTAGCATGGACGGATCCAGTATTATTGGAGAAGTAGGATGGTCGTTGTTGTTGACAGTCAACCGTCACATTAACGAGATCGTTTATTAACATTTAATTAAATAGTATATAAAAATGTATGATACAACATCACTCCATAACAATAAGATCTGACAACTACACATCATAGGTTGGATTGGCAAGAAGCAAATGGTGAGTATAGTGAAAACTAATATTTACTGGTGTGAAATGGAAGGGAAAAAACACTGAATTGAATACTGAAAACCTTGGAACATCAAAAGAGACTTACAAATCATAAAATTCAAGAAAAAATCTCACAAATCACAAAGACGAAAACCCAAATGAATTTCCATGGAATAGCTCTAATTTGCAACAATAAACAACTAAATCAAAAAAATTAACTAATCCACAAACAACCGAATAAACACACCAAATACAAAAGAATAAAAAAATATAATTTAATAACTATAGAAATTACATAAGGAATTCATAATTGTTGTGGTTTGCAAAATAGGACAATGCATCAATTTATAACTTTTAAGATTAACTGAGATTTTAATGAAATTCTTAAAAATGTAGGAATATTCAATGATTCGTAAATTATAAGAATTTCATTAATAAAAAGATTTTAAAGTATTTGAATAGATTTCAAGTTTAAAAATATACATATCAAGCTTTTTTTGATTTTTTGCAATTTTTAATGAAACGCTTGTGAATTATACGAAAATATATTCGAATTCACGAAATTCATTAAAATTTTAGAATCTCCTAGAATTTATCAAAATTTCAATTTAGAACACAACACTCCGTGAGAACAAAAACATAAAGCTTGCATGGACACTGGCAACCCCAGTGTGGGGAGTTCGAATCAAGGAAGAAGTAGCCAAGTGTTATAATACACAAACCATGTGATGGAGCAGCTTGGTGTTGTAAAAACCGGTTGTAGGAGGGCACACTTGGGCCCAAGAGTATAAAGTTTGCACGGAGACTGGCTTAATTGGACATAACCTGCGATTTACCTCTGCCCAGAGTTGAGGCACCGGTGATGGACGGTCCAGAAAATAGTCTGGTGTAAATTGGGGTACTTGAGTATAAAAAAAAAAAACCATAAGAGTGAACAATAGCGTAATTTCTAGGTTAAGAAGTCATTTATGAACGAACCTTGCTACTTGTACAAAAGAATTTGTACAAAAATGTTGACAAACCCTCACATGTGGGGGGCCCACTTTTTATTTTCAATTTTTTATTCACGTGGGACCGTCAATCATGTGAGGGTTTGTCAACCTTTTTGTCAAATTCTTTTTGTACAAATTGTAGGATAAAAATATTGTAGNGGTGCCCGCAAATCTGTAAATATTCAGTTCCCTCAATTTTGGACCGTTCGCGCTCCATTAGTCAACAAATGTACTCTGTCTGTCATGGCCGTTAATTTTGTCGACAATGACATGGGAGACACTGTATTACTTTTTTACTTCTTGATTTTTGAAAATAATTTTTGGTTAACCTAGACGATATTGTGAACAAAATTAATAGTCACGTGCATAAATTTTACAACTAAGTACAAATTCTTTAAATTTATTTTTTTCTAAACTCGTTTCTAACCATCTATTCTTCGAATAAAATAATTTTACACTTGAAGTCATAAAAAAAATTTCTTACTTTTTAACAACTAAAAAATCACATTTCACAATATATATTCTTAAAAAAATTCATCAAATCGACCCTTAAAGTTACAAACACCACATTAAGGCCCTGTTTGGTATTTAAGTCGTAGTCAATAATTAATTTCATCAAAATTTTCTAAAAAATTAATTTTAATTTTTATCAAACAAGGACTAAAAAAGCGAATCCTGCTACAGTACCAAATGTCTTGATATAATACTTGACATAATGCTATTTAGTATTTCATTATTGGACTGTTTTAAACACAATCAACTTTTTCATTAAATCGTCTCTTACCACCTCGAATTATGTCATTGTATTTATTAAAATAAAACACCCGACAGGGGCAAAATCATAGAGAGAGAGAACCAAGACAAGTCCTTGTACTCCAAGCAAATAACTACAGTGTTTTTAGTTAGTGTTCTTGAAAGCTGACATATTGCATCGCGTGTTCTATTTCGTTATGTCATTGCTGATTCCACTTAACTTCCACCTATATTCGTTTTTCAATTATGTGGCCCCCACACATTTCCCTTTATAAAATCCCTTTCACTGCCTCAAATCTTCGCCATGACGCCATCCATTTACAACTCAACTCTTCTTCTCCCCCAATCCCCAATTCTCTCTCCAGTCATAACTCTGCTAAAAAGCAATAATGGGTGCTTGTCTCTCTTCCAAATCTCTTGATTACCAAAATTGTTCTGCAAACGTTGTTCTATTGAATGGAGAATTGCGCCAATTTTCAAGTAGATTAAGTTTGACCCTTGAAATCTGACCGATGTTTGATTAAACACACACATTTTAATTCAAAGGTTGGCTTCATAATGTTTTTCTATTTTTTAATTCTTTTTTTTTGGTTCCCCACGTGGACAAATCAATCACCTATGTTGCTTTAATCTGAACTTGAGATAATTTATATAAATCCACAATGACTGAATAAGCACACTACACAAAAACAATAAAACAAAATACATATCAAAATCAAAGTACTATGTTTGAGAATAATTGAATAAGTAACTGCTTTCTACAAAAAAAAAAAAAAAGTTCACGACTCTTAAGTAACTTAGGGTGGCCGTACCCCTTCATTCTTCGGAGGTGAAAGAAGGGGTACTATCAATTTCTATCTACATATATTAGAACCCTAGAACACCAAAAAGGGCGGGAGCAAGAACTGCCACTCAACTTCGGATAATTTACTAAGACGGTTAAAATATAACATCTCATATATAGCTAATTCATGACTACATAATAAGTAACTTATATGTTCAAAAAGTACTTTCTACTATTATGTGAATTTTGTTGAACAACTCTTATAAAAACTTAAATTTTAGAGAAATAGCATGTTTATCGATTTTAAATTGGTTTTCGAAACACATCCACTCATGTACAGAAGGACTATTATTTGCTCTAACACTATACGGATTCATCTCATATAAAAGTTTCACGTGTTAGAGAAGGGACGAGCTTGTTTATTTATATTATATTTTCAAATGACATCGTGAACTCCTGTCAACTACAGGCTAAGTTCATGTTAAATTCAAAATTTTAATATATTTTGATAAAAATTGATGAAATGCATGATTGAAAATTTGATAGAAATTGTAGATATCATGAAATGTGTGATTCAACTAATTGTTAACTTTAAGTTAAATTTTTATTCATTTGTTAACTAAACCAAACAGGAACTTAGTCTCACGTGGTAAATATATACGAGATTTTCTTGAATATACTCTCACAATGTAAATGTAAATATTGTAAATGTTACTAATGAAAATATGTAATCAATCATGAGTACCTGACCATGGACAAGTGAAGCATAAAATTCAAGTACAAAACATAAAATTCAAAAAAAAAATCTCACAAATCACAAAGACGAAAACCCAAATGAATTTCCATGGAATAGCTCCAATTTGCAACAATAAACAACTAAATCAAAAAAAAATTAACTAATCCACAAACAATTGAATAAAAAAACCAAGTACAAAAGAATTAAAAATATATAATTTAATAACTATAGAAATTACATAAGGAATTCATAATTGTTGTGGTTCGCAAAATAGGACAATGCATCAATTTAAAACTTTTAAGATCAACTGAGATTTTAATGAATTTCATTAATAAAGGGATTTTAAAATATTTGAATAGATTTCAAGTTTTAAAATATACATATCGAACTTTTTGTTTTAATATTTTTCCATTTTTAATGAAATAGTTGTGAATTATATGAAAATTTATTCGAATTCATGAAATTCATTAAAATTTTAGAATCTCTTAGAATTTATCAAAATTTCAGTTTAGAACACAACACTCCGTGAGAAAAAAAAAAACATAAAGAGTGAACAATAGCGTAATTTCTAGGTTAAGAAGTCATTTATGAACTTCATTCGGTGCCCGCAAATCTGTAAATATTCAGTTCCCTCAATTTTGGACCGTTCGCGCTCCATTAGTCAACAAATGTACTCTGTCTGTCATGGCCGTTAATTTTGTCGACAATGACATGGGAGACACTGTATTACTTTTTTACTTCTTGATTTTTGAAAATAATTTTTGGTTAACCTAGACGATATTGTGAACAAAATTAATAGTCACGTGCATAAATTTTACAACTAAGTACAAATTCTTTAAATTTATTTTTTTCTAAACTCGTTTCTAACCATCTATTCTCCGAATAAAATAATTTTGCACTTGAAGTCATAAATTTTTTTTTCTTACTTTTTAACAACTAAAAAAATCACATTTCACAATATATATTCTTAAAAAAAAATCATCAAATCGACCCTAAAAGTTACAAACACCACATTAAGGCCCTGTTTGGTATTTAAGTCATAGTCAATAATTAATTTCATGATGTTCACAACTTTTCATCAAAATTTTCTGAAAAATTAATTTTAATTTTTATCAAACAAGGACTGAAAAAGCGAATCCCGCTATAATACCAAATGTCTTGATATAATACTTGACATAATGCTATTTAGTATTTCATTATTGGACTGTTTTAAATACAATCGACTTTTTCATTAAATCATCTCTTACCACCTCGAATTATGCCATTGTATTTATTAAGCCCCTGTTTGTCTACCATTTTTCAAAACATTGTTTTCTACAGTAATCAATCTCCACCACACATTCAAATAATAAAATATTCTACACATAAACCGATAAAGTTTCTTTCAATTTTAACCACACATTCTTCAAAAAATATTATTCATTACACCATTTTCATCACAATAATGGTAGACAAACAGGGCTAAATAAAACCCGATGGGGGCGAAATCATAGAGAGAGAACCAAGACAAGTCCTTGTACTCCAAGCAAACAACTACAGTGTTTTTAGTTAGTTTTCTTGAAAGCTGACATATTGCATCGCGTGTTCTATTTCGTTATGTCATTGCTGATTCCACTTAACTTCCACCTATATTCGTTTTTCAATTATGTGGCCCCCACACATTTCTCTTTATAAAATCCCTTTCACTGCCTCAATTCTTCGCCATCCATTTACAACTCAACTCTTCTTCTCCCCCAATCCCCAATTCTCTCTCCAGTCAAAACTCTGCTAAAAAGCAATAATGGGTGCTTGTCTCTCTTCCAAATCTCTTGATTACCAAAATTGTTCTGCAAACGTTGTTCTATTGAATGGAGAATTGCGCCAATTTTCAGTTCCTACCACAGTTGCTCAGGTACTGGAATCAGTAAATTCAACATTAGGTTCATTCATTTGCGACTCGGATTGCTTGTATTTCAACGATTACATACCTGCTTTGGCACCAGAAGATGCGCTTGAGGAATCTCAAATCTATTTCGTGCTACCGAAAACCAAGCTTCAGTATCGTTTGACTGCGTCCGACATGGCTGCTCTCGCCGTGAAAGCCAGCGTCGCTCTAGACAAAATGAACGCCGCCGCCTCAACGCGCCGGCGGAAGAGGAAGTCACGGATTTCACCAGTTATGATGCTAGATCAAAATAGCGAATCCTATCAGAAGAAAAGTTTTGTTAACAATAACAATGCAACGAAACCCTCAACGTCGGCACAATTAGGGGTTTCCAGATCCAGATCTGTGAGGAAATTCCAGAAGCACTCATCTCGGCGGGCTAAAATGGCGGCCCGATCCTTCAAGATTAGGCTAAGCACTATTTATGAAGGATCTGTGGCACATGCTCCAGTTTACTGAACAATTAGGGGTCTCTAGATCCAGGTCTGTGAGGAAATTCCAGAAGTACTCATCTCGGCGGGCTAAAATGGCTGACCGATCCTTCAAGATTAGGCTAAGCACTATTTATGAAGGATCTGTGGCATATGCTCCAGTTTACTGATTCTGCAAATTGATTTTTCGTATCTTCGCTTGTGAAAAATCCAAAAAAATACACCCACAAAAATAGGGAAAGGTGCACATATTTTTGTTTTATTTGGGATTCTTTTGAAGAAAGATTCTGTCTGTAAATATTTGTGTGACATTTTGATACAGAGATTACAATCAATTTCTGTGAATTGGATTTTTTTGTATTTCCGAAACCAATTGGATTTTTCCGTTAGGATGCTCGACTTTTCTTGAGTTATCCTCTTTGAATGACTAAAATATTAAAATTAATTTTTTAATAAATTTGATAAAAATTGATGAAATCTATTTGTAGATTTTATTAATACGTGATTGATATTAATTATTAATTTTGATTTAGATTAAAATTCAAATTTTAATCCGTACCAAACTCGAGCTAAATAAGAGTTTGAATTAAATAGTTCATATAATTTCACTTTTAATTAAATCCATGTTTGATTCCCGTTAAATAAAAAAATATAGTTTTTATAGTATTTTAAGGAGAATGTGTGGTTAAAAAATAGAAAAATGTTTTGAATTTACGTGTTAATATTTTATTGTGTGAATATATGACTGAAAATGATTATGTATCATAAATTAAAATAAACTAAAGGCCGTCAAACGAGGGCTAATCTAATCTCAAGTGTCACTTAAGGGTTTCGTTTTGACACGACTTTTGAAAAGTTAAAAGTTATTTCAAAAATTAAAAAGCTATTTTTGAATATGTTTGAATAATATTCTAAAAAAAAAATTATCCGATTAAAAGAGTTTATAGAAAAAACTGAACCACGAGTCTTGTATGATGCTATTTTGTTGTCCTCTCGGAAGAGAGCGAGCGAGAAAGAAAAAATACCTTGTGCAAATAGAACTAGTTTTCATATGGTTTGAAGTATCATTTTGTTTCAAAAGCATCCATCCCTATTACAAAATATAAATATGTAGTGTTTGTTTAGCCCCTGTTTGGTACACATTAAAATTTTCATTCTCATTTTTTTTACTCATTTTCAACCACACATCTTTCAATAAAATAATAATTTCCATCACATCAAAAACTTTTCCTTCCTTTTCAACCACACATTCTCCATTAATCTACTATTTCAAAATACATTTTACCAAAATAATGTGATCAAACACACTTGTTCCTCTTAAGTCTTTACAAATGCAAATCACAAGTGGCAGTGAATTACATTCTTGACATAATATCTAATAACATTCAATCATTAGATTATTTTAAATACGATCAATTTTTTATCAAATCATCTGCTGCCACTTAAAATTATGTCATTTCATATGTTACATTACTACTGGCAAAGTGGCAAAATCATTTTAACTAGTTGCATGTCTTGGAGTCCAACTCGGGTTGGTGTGTAGACAATGCTTTCTTTGTTCTCTACTTATTAGACTTTAGATTGACGTTAAATTTTAGAATTAAACTAGTTGTACACATTTGTTTGATTGCCAAAATTTGTGACATTGATTATTTAAAATGTTGTGTAGATCAATGTCTAAAAAAAATCACTAATGTCAAATTTGATGTAAAATTTAATGTGCATGTAATTCGATTGTAAATTTTATTATCTTTGACTTTTCGGGTCTAAACTTTTTTAACTTTTTTTTCGTATGGATTATTTAAAGGGGAGTGCATTAATTTTGATCTCACCAATTCAATAAAATCTTACTCCCCCGTCCCGTAAAGATAGGCTTGGTTTCATTTTTCGTCCATCCAAATTATGGGTCAATTTTCTTATTGAAAGTATAGATATTTTTTAGTTTTCTTATTCTGTGTGAAAAAAAAAATATATTTTTATGGAACAAATTGACCATTTTCATTTACAAGCGTGACCAAGTTCAGACCATATTCCTTTTTATTTCTAAATGTCAACAGTGCAATGTCATTTTTAAAATCAGACTTCTACCGTACAATAATGCGAAATCTTATTAAAATTTGATTTTAATGAGTTTCAAACATGGACTAATTATTACAAATAAAAGTCAAAAGAATCAAGAATACCAGAACAGGATTTAGTTGTTGCTGTCTTGCATTAAAAAAAACATAATATGTAAAATAATTTTCAAGCAGATCAAGTTTGACCCTTAAATTCCGATCGATGCAAACAAATTTTTATTCAAAGGTTGTCTTCATAATGTTTTGCTATTTTTAATTGGATAATTAACGCTTGACGTCCTTGCCTTTTATTACTATTGCACAAAATATCACTATCTTTCATTTTTATTTTATTTTTATACATTTTCACCCTTTATTATGCACATGTTTTTTTGGCATTATTTCCCATTTTGTAAAAAATTTAAGACCGTTGGTAGTCGTGATTTTTGATCATTGTCTCTCATGGCAGGACCTAGTTTTTGAAAAAAATGGTCAATTTTTTCATTTTCTCCCTACAATAATGCCAAACAAACAGGGGCTATATCTTTGGAGTGTGTTTGGCAGGAATTTTTGGGGGAAGAATTGATTTTTGAATAGTGATATGATGGGAAATGTGTAGTTGAAAAAGAAAAAAAAATGTATTGATATGATGGAAAATATTATTTTATTGAAAAATGTGTGGTTGAAAATGAGAATCGATTTACTGTAGAAAATGAGAATCTGTACCAAACAGGCTCTTGATCACCTGAAATGTCATTTTCATCAAACTTCTCCATTAAGTGGAGGGTATTTTCGTCCTATAACATTTTCCCCCTCTTTCTTTCTATCCGAACCCATTTTCTCATCTATTTTTGTTGGGTTTGACGAGGATCGAACTACAAAATGAAGCTGTAAGAATGCCGGCTGACAAAAGCAAACATCATCAAATCATAGATAGAGATTGATAAAGAATAAAGAAGAGAATAATGATTCACTTATTCGCGTTGATCTTCCACCTCAGAAACGACACTTCAAAAATTAGAGATGCATAGATCTCTAAAAAATGAGAATCTCAGCTACCCCTATCCCCCGATTATAAGCAACCAAATATCTTTAAATTTTTTATAAAAAATAAATCGTTAAATTACAGTCCCCAGAATACATGTAAATCAAAGGGGAGTAAAAAATGAATCTTGAACTCAATTCAACATCATATCCAAACGAAAAGAAGCAATTCGTCTCCGCATCAAATCGAAAGAATCAGTTCCAAAATCTCTAATTTGGGCGATGCGGCTGCTCCCCACTAACGAGTAACGAGTGAAAGCAATCCATCTTCAGCTGCCTCACTTTCGTCCAAGAACAAGTCCTCAAAATCGTGTGAATATTGATCAGACTCAATAACTCAAACCCATCTTCTTCCTATCATCAAACTCAATCACTCAATCACTCAAGTTGTCAAGGAACATAAGCTAAAGGTTATTTTTCAGAGGAAAAAACAGAGGAGAAAATGGTTTCAGATAATTCGTATGGGAACTTTACGAGGTGCCCACACAAATTTTTTCTAAAAATGAGTTTTGAAAAAAAAAATTTTTTTTTTTTTTAAAAATGAAATCTAAACAGTGACAGTAACTCATTTTCGGACAATTCGCTCCATTAGGCAATATATGTATTCCATCTATTTAAATGAAATTGCAAATGATTTAAATAGGCAAATGAAAGTATGTCATGACCATTAGGGTTCGTTTGATTGTAAGAGAGAAATTTGGATGGAAAGAAAATGAATTTTTTGAATTGCTTAGAACTTGTTCTCCAAAAAATTGTCAATTAGTTGTGTTTGATTGGTGTAATTTTTCACCTGAAAAATATTGAAAATTTGGATATGTTGGTATTCATTTGACTTTATTTTTCAGAAAAATGGTCCATTAAAGGAATATAATTTGTTACAATTCCACTTAAAATTTGTTTTGAACCACACATGTATTACATTTTTTCTATCAATAGTTAATGAAAATCTGAATTTAGCTAAGCCAAATAGGGTTGAGTTCACTATTTGTAAAAGTGATATTTTTTAAATTATTTTTTGACGAAAATATGATTATTTTCTAATTTTAATTAATAATTTATCTTTTGTAATAAATTTATCAATGTCTGTTTGTCTAAAAATAAATTGTTTTTATGTATGGTAGATCAAAAGTGAGTCGCGTACATTTTGAGCGATTTACATTTTTATAATTTTTTAAGCTCCGTCGATATTGAAGATTGCAGCTCTGCTTAGAGTGTCAGATATGGATCTAAAGATGTGGTGGAGACTAAGCATATGATCAATGACTTTTATAGTGGAGTCTTTATCCACTATATATTGCTTATTCTTCATTTTTCATTTTTTGGGTACTTGGAAGGATTTATTGAAAATGAATCATTCAAGGATTTACTTAATGCCCGTGAACAGTTCTGCGAGCCTAACGATATAACTGAAACAAATGAAGGTATAACGTAGAATATTTCATTCTCTTTTTGTATTTGAGTTTAGTACACTAGCATAAAGTAGTTGAATTATCATGAAATACTTGGCCGCAATTTACTTTTTTTAATTATATCAAGAAGGTGGGATATGGCAATTTAGAGTTATGAAGTAGTTTACATTTTTCTGTATATCTTTCAATACTAATACACATAATTTCTTCTATGTATTAACGCTATTGTGTAGTCAACTATAACATGTCACGTGCATTGCACGTGCGTCTTACTAGTATTCTTAAAAAAAATTACATCAAATCGACCCTAAAGTTACAGCACCACATTAAGCCATGTTTGGTATTGATTAAGATCTTGATTTTAATCTGAGTGAACGATTAATTTCAATTACATATTTTATGTATTCATAACTTTTCAACCACATATTTTATCATTTTTTGTCAAAATTTACTAAAAATTTAGCCCCCATTTGACACCCCTTTTTTGGCAAAAAATTCATTCTTCTACAGTTTCTTTT